AGTCGGGGGCGAATTTTTTCCGATCTTTTTCCTAATTTGACTGGACTTTTATTAGAATAATTGTCTTCATTAAATGGTTTATAGTTATCTTCTGAATCAACATAATCCAATGATGATGATGAATAACCTGTTAATTTGAAAATGCAAATTAATATAGTAATATAATGAATCATTAGATAAAAAAAAATATTTGAAACAAATTTATAAGTAACATACTATTTAAATTGACTTCTTGGTGATGATTTACATTATTAGGAGATGTAAAAGGAACTGATTTCTTTGGTAACATGGTACGCAAGTTATAATGATTAATTAAACAAACATTAATAATAGTCTTAATGTTTACCCAACATTATAAACAATATAAAATAAAATTATTTTATGTAATCATTAAAATACAATATAATTACCTTTGAATGCTTGATTTACATTTGTTTAAGGTTGTGGTTTGGATTTGTTTTTATTGTGGTAATAAAAAATTCGATTAGTTTGATGTCACACTGACGATTTTACATTTTATTAAAAAAAAAAAAAAGTATGTACACGGTTTTATCATTTAATATCGAAGGGTACGGAGTTTAAAGTGCGCACGACGGGGTGTTGGAACTTACCGAACGGTATGACAGTAATTAAGAAAGGACGTATTAGTTAATTATAATAACATAAGCACGATAAGGTTGAGATTGACGGGAGGGCAGTGATGTGCTTAGTTATCTTCGCAACTGTATGTGTGAACAACATTATTATTTTTATTTTCATCAGAGCATTACATAATATTTTGATAAGGTCCTTGTAAACAGTGGCGCCGAAGTTTTTAAAATGTGGTCGCGCAATTTTAAAACTTCCCGGCCTCAATATCTTAATTATTTAATATAAAGGTACCCTAATATAAATTTATTCATAATCACGGTTTAAATTTACTCATGCTTATAATAAAGTTATGATGTAAATTAAATATGGCCGGCCGGCCACATTTTTCAAAAAAGAGGTCGGGCCACGGCATGGACTTCGGCGCCACTGCTTGTAAAGGTAAATCATCACTTGTAAATACATCAGTATTAATTTCTTTTAGATCTATAAACAAAATCGAAAAATTTAATTTTTTAAAAACAATACATTTTTATACTATTGTTATACCTATATTAAACCGAATATTAATGATTCAAACTACAAATAATATACGAGATTTAGGTATAATACATATTATGTATGACCAATATTATTATGAACATTGAATATTTTATAATATTTACCATAATTATTCGTGTTATTTTTAGGAACAATATCTCTGCTCTTTGTACACAACTTCATCCCTAAAATTAAATAAGCTTAACACTCTGCCAAATAGTTTAAATTAAAAAATTACATACTTTTATATGTTGCATCGTCTTCGCTTGCTGTTTTAGGCAAAGCTAATGCAACTATTCTTTTGCTTCTTGACATTTTTCTTGACAACTTAACGTTTAGGTATAGGTATATTTTAAAAACAATATACAGCAAGACATAAATATTAATGTAGTTATCATATTATAATGCATAATATTCAATGACAATGAAATCGTAAATTGAGCGCGAATAAAATTAGTTTGTTATTATAATCTGTGATTGTTGTGTAAAGTCTCAAAATACCGGTAGGTAATACAGTTTATTTTAACAACTATTCTATGTAATGTATGTGATAACATAATTTGAATTGTATTTTCTTGCCAAGCTATGATAAGTGGTATCTTATTAAGTCTTTCCAAACATGATAAGTGCCCAAATAAAGACTTATCATATTTTGCCACAAAAAAAAAATTATTATCCATTATGATAAGTAACATATTATTATAGATAGACACAAACTATTTTTTCTTCCACGAAACATATCATTTTAATTATTGCTGAATATCTCATTTGATAATAGAGCTACAGATATTATATTTTGACACAAAAAAATATTCATCGTTTACTACAGATAACACATAAAACCTGAAAATTGAATTTTTTTCACATATCGGCTTTTGGCTCCCAACCACAGAATTAAAAGAACAACTTCTACATTCTAAAACAACATTTACAGATCCGGCTGGTTATCTTAGACATATCATGTGTCCACTCATCTTGAACCAAAATAATGACTGTAAATATTGTAACAAAGCTATACGGACTATTATGCGCAAAAGGCACTGTTTACATAAAATAATACTACTCCAAAGAGAATTCATATTTTATCTAGTTCCAAAGTACAACAACTTCGTAAAAATCACAAATTAACATTGCAAAGGAAATATCGAGCTGTAATACTCAATAAAAAGCTAAAAAATAAATTATTTAATATACAAGGTGAAATGTCAAAACTGACCACAATGAGGCTTGAAGAAAGGCTAACAACTAATAAGATACCTACTAATCAACGGGTTGCCTTACATGAAATTTTGTCCGCATTACAAGTCCTCAATTTAAAAGGTCGCAGATATTCCGAAGATTGGATCCTTTTATGTTTACTATTTCATATGCGTTCACCATGTGGCTATAATTTTGTTAGAAATAATGACATTATGCCATTACCTTGTGTAAGGACCATAAGAAGGTAATACAATAATATTACTTGTTTAAACATTTTTATAAATTAAAATCATGTTTAAGGTACCTATCATCTATCGATACACAATGTGGGTTTGATCCAAAATTTCTACAGATGTTTTCTCTTTATATGGCACAAAAAGAAGAATTCAAACGCCATGGTTTGCTCGTGTTTGATGAAATGTCCACTCTCGAGAGTATTGCAGTTAACTCGGCGAATCTTACATATACAGGTAAACAATGAAATACAGATAAAATTGGTATTTTCTCATATTATTTTCTCATATTTTCTCATATTATTGAATACCTTACAGGTCTAGTCGATTTTGGTGAAGAAGGTGAGAAAGGAAAAACTTTCAGTGATAAAGCAAATCATTGATTAGTATTTATGTTCATACCATTAGAAGATAATTATGCCCAACCCGTTGGTGTTTTTGCATCAAAAGGACCGACTAAAGGTGTAGTACTAACTCAGTTAGTAATAAAAGCTATCACAGTACTTAAAAAAGCAGGAGCGTTCATCCATGGAATTGTATGTGACGGGGCAGCCCCAAATCGAAAATTTTGGAGCGAAATGGGAATATGTGGAAAAAATTAAAAAAGTTAAAAATTGGTTTGAGCACCCAACAGATGAATAACGGAAAATATTTGTGTTCTCTGATACGCCACATTTATTCAAGAATATGAGAAATAGGCTCTATAATAATAAAGAGCTCAAGGTGTGTTGTTTTGTTGATATATTTTAATATCTAAGAACAAATTCCACTAAAAATAAGTATTATAACTCTCAACCTCCAACACAAGCTTTATTGCTTACAGGGGGTTGATAACCCATATATTTATTACTGATAAAATATTAAAATATGTTAATTTATATAATAAATGGTTCTTATTAAAAAAAAAAATTAGTTTATATAACATTATATTGCAATACTTAAAAGTTAAAAATGACAATGGCTGGTCTATGTTGGTTATTATAAATTTAATTTAATTTATTCATACCAATATCTAAATAGATTTTTAATTTCAAACATTATAGTAAACTGACCAGTAGTAGAATTTAATGATGAGAATATTTCAAAATGAATTTTGAAATACTTTTTTTTTTATAAATTAAAATTAAAAACTATAGATTCACTATGAACATTTTTAATAATGTTCAATGTCAGATAAAGGGAACAAAATATATTAAAAAGTAACCAGAATTCAAATTTTTAGATTCATGAAAATGAACCACCAGTAAAATGGGATCATTTTGTAAATGTTTACAATTTGGATAAACTGAATTTCTTGTTTGTCCTAAATTATCTGCATCTCATTTAGTTTTGAACAGTTCTGCAAAAATGCGTGTTCGTCTTGCTGTGCAGGTAGCATTATTATTCATTATTTTATTTTTATAGACATTTATTGTTTTAACTAATAATGATTATTTTATGTTATAGATTCTTAGTACCTAACTCAATGGCAAAGAGCCTTGAGTTCTATCGCTCTTATAGTCCTCAGTTAAGTGATTCTACGGCAACTGAGAATTTTTGCTTGAAAATGAATTCAGCGTTTGATGCATTAAATCGAAAGCTAAAGAATGAAGGAGTGTCGCCAAATAGTGATGATTCCCGAGTAGCAATTTCCGCGCAGTAAATGTGTAGAGTGTATGAGTTTATGATTAAAAACACTGTGCAAATATTCGTCACTGCACTGTGTTTATGTCCATTTTGAATACCGATTTTTTACATGGGTTACACCTTTGTGTTAAGGTCAGTTTAAACACTGTGTATTACGGTGGTGTAATCACGGTTAAAGACATCAGTGCCATAACCGTGCAAACTGACTGTGTTATAACCGTGTTAATAATCAGTGTTATGAGTGTGTTAATGATTTTAAATTACCTTTCAATATATATTATTAATATTAAATATATATATATTATATATATTAATATTATAATATATTACACATGAGCACATAACTGTGAAATAATCATACTACAAACTGAATTATTATATTATTCATAATTTATTAGTATTAGGTAATAATACTTTGTTTTCTCATTTTACAAATTCCATAAATATATTATATGAGGAATAAGTATTTAAATAAAAATAATAATATTTCTATAGAAGGCTAATTACTTTATTAAATTTATTATGCAATTAATAGTACATAATATTTTACAATATATTATATTTTTATAATTATAAATAACATAATACATACAAACAGAAATTTTTTTATACCTAGACACCTATTATAGGAAAATCTTACAAAATAAAATGCATTGCATACACATAACCAATATGAAAAAAGTAATTATTAATTTCTTTATAACAAAATTATACACAACAAAAGTAATAAAATTTAGTTTAATACAAAATAACTTTAGCTTTAAAATATTATAAAAATCAAAATACTATTAATATTACTTTATAAGCATTATATTAGCCATCAACTTTATCGATACATATTGTTTTTGGAGCGTGTCTTGTATAGTTGTCGGCTACAGTGTGAAATTGTTTTTCATCAAATGGAGTTTTTCTGAACCCAGACAAGGCTTCTAAAATAAAATAGCAATAAATATATATTATTATTTTATAATTTATACAACTATTTCTATAACAAATGATACATTTGACACTTACCATAAACAACCATAAACAATTTCAAATCAGTAAATTTGTTTTTGGTCTTCCCTTTATAGCTAAAATTACTTAGAACATTGTAGTTGAAGCAACAATTGATTGCTTCTCTTATTGCAGCTCTGAATGAAGACATACTCCCAACTTTAATAAGAAGATAATTTTTCTGTAAATAGTAATTTAAATTAACTATAATATATATTAATATAATTATTATGTAGGTAAATCAAATAGTGTTAATTAGTTTTAAAATAATAATAAAAACAATAACTCTGATCTGTAAAATTTGAATTTCAATGAAAGTAACATGATTTAAAATTAATTTTACCATCCCCAAATGGAATTATACAAAGTATTTAACATTATTATTTAATTTTAATATCAACCAAAACTAGTGAAAATGTAATAGTTAAAACTTTTCTTTTTTTATCTAGCACCATGACTAATATAAAAATGTACATTAATAGTGTTTGAAAATATGTTAAATAATTTTATAATGAAAATAATGTTACTGTTAGATTTCAATCTAAGATAATTTAGTATGCAGACTTAAATTAAGTAATGTCATACGTACTTACAAATTATAATAATGAATGGTTTACATTTAATATACTTATAATTTATGAAAATTACTGTCTTATACTCACTAATTGTTCAATATATTCTATTTCATGTTCACCGGATAAAAGTGATTCGATAATATTAACTTCATCCATATTTTTGGCTGGTAAAATATTAATAAAGGCAGGTGGTAGAGCAGGAATTGGCTAAGCTAATGCTCTCATCCTCGAATCAGCCTTCATAATAACTAATAATTTTTGATCTAAATTTTCAATTGCTTTGCATATTTTTGTATTAGAATTATTTAGCATAGTAAGCTGAACCAACATTTGTTTTTGTATTGATTTGTTGGATTTTTCAAGCTTAGTTATTTTAGAACTAAGTTCTAACAAGATACTCTTAAAACATTTTTCTAAAACAAAAATATCAAACATATAGTTTTCCAAACAAAATAATAAGTAACCATGCGTAGGTATATTATAAATCATGTTTTAATTTACCATTATCCTGAAGTTCAGGGAAATCCATAGCGATATTGTTTTGAGAATTAATATTAGTATCCAATACACTATTGTTTATAATAAAATCATTGCTATCAGCACCAATTAAAAAATCTGTTAAATGGTTATATTATTGTTATTATAATTTGAGTAAAGGCCTTTTTTATTATGACTATAGAATGCTAAATATAATATATATTTAAAAGATTTAATGAATAAATATATATAATAATTATATTTTACCTGCTATCAACTCATCTTAGGTTGTAATGTATGATGCTGCATGATTAGTTTTGTCAAGATTTAATACATCATAATCTGCAGATGATTTTAATTATAAGTAATAAAAATAAACAATAATTATAACATGCAAATATTGCATAATACACTAGCTAAAATTACAAATAATAACCTGTATTTTTATCTTTAAGAGTATTACATGATATACTTTCCGTTTCTTGAAGACTTAAATTTAGGTCAAATTTAGTAGCAGCAGGTGATTTAAACAGTGATTTTTTTGTGTTTACTGGTGTCACTTCTAAAATATAAACAAAATTTAAACAAGAAATGTATATTGCTTTTAATAAAAATATTAACCTGTATTTTTATCTTCATTATAAGTACTACAGGACATGTTTTCGGTTTCTTGAAGACCTAATAAGTCTTGGTCAAATTTAGTAGCAGCAGGTGATTTAAACAGTGATTTTTTTGTGTTTACTGGTGTCACTTCTAAAATATAAACAATATTTAAACAAGAAATGTATATTGCTTATAATAAAAATATTAACCTGTATTTTTATCTTCATTATAAGTACTACAGGACATATTCTCGGTTTCTTGAAGATCTAAGAAGTCTTGGTCAAATTTAGTAGCTGCAGGTGATTTAAACAGTGATTTTTTTGCGCTTACTGGAATCACTTCTAACAAAAACATAAAATTTAAACAAGAAATGCATATGATATTGATAACGAAAATTTACCTGCTATTTTATTCTCTTCGTCATATTGTAATTTCTGAAAATTATTTGAAGTATATTTTTGGCCGTCAGTATGATGATGACCAACAACTATTTAATGTAAAATAATATTAATATATATATATACATATATGTTATAATATTAGTTACTGTACTCACATTTCATCTTAATTGCTGAATTAGTATGGTATAATTATAAATACCATGTATATTTAATTTGTAAATACCATAAATTTTGTAAATACCATATATATATATATTTTGTTATATTTTTAATTTATACATATCATGTATATATATTTTGTAAATACCATGTATATTTTGTAATCTATATATTTTTAATCTATAAAGGGTACCAATGTAAAAAAAAAAAAAAAAAACAATGTTAAAATATTATCATGTTTTATTTTTAAGAATTCTTTATAAACCATTTTCTTATAGCAAAAACTTTATAAAATGTACATTGTTTAGGATTAAATTCCATATGATAAATACAACAAGGTAGAGTTTCGTCATCGCATATTTGTTCCAAACGAGGGCAGCCTAAATCTTCAATGTTGATGAGTGCGACGTGTGGCATATACTCCATGAGAACTTGTTTTTTCTGATCGCCCTTGACGTATATGCATCTGAACTTTAATGAATTCAATATTCTACTTAGTTCTTCATACTCGATATCACCATAATCCAAGGATAGTTGATGATAGTTACGTTCCAGCCACTTGTTGGTTTTACGACTCTTGTTGTCTTGCTTTAGTTTTGAATTTTTAAAAATCCAATGTTGGGTCGCCCATGTTTCTGTGTCTACAATAGACATTTCTTTAATCATGTATTTATTGTCCATTCCAAGGACGCATTGCATGTCCAAGATGGCCGAAGACATTATGGTTTATTTTTCAACGTGTCTGTATTTTCTTTGATATAATGTAATGATGCTTCAGATTTTTTTATGTAATCTATTATTATTAATTGAAGCGTTTCAGTTTGTTCTTGTTGTATATTAACGGATTTTCGATTTTCTTCAAGAAAATGTTCCATTTTATCTAATTTAGACGAAAACGATTTAACAATTTGTTCGAGATTTACTAAAAATTTATTAGTTTCACTAGACTGAGAACTACCGAACACGTTCATATCTGTAGCTCGAATGACGCTATTTTTTAACGTCACGCATATTTATCCAACTATTGTGTGTATTATCAAACCCTAACCATTTTACAAACATTTGATCATCCTTCTTACATATAATTTTTTCAATTAAATAATCGAGAATTTCGTTACTTTTTCGAAATACATAAGTAACGATTTTACGATCAGATTCGTGGATACATTTAGATTGGGATTCACTGCTGACAAACCGGCAAAAATCGGTATGAGCGGCAACACCCCACCCTTTTTTGGAATTGATATAATCCTTGGAACTTTAGTTTTTCTTTTTTTGAATGTTTTTCGTGCGACGGTTAGACATTTTTTACTTAACTTCATCAGGTTTTTTTCACCGATATTTTTCTTTAAAGCGTTTTTAGCTGCTTTGGTGGCTGCTTTAAACCCACATCCAGCCCCGATTTTACGTTTTGCTTTCATGGCGGTTGTCACGCAGCAAGCTACAGCTTTTTCTTTTAAATTTGAATCTTTAGCCTTAAACCTATCCCAGGCTCGCTGCTCTAATATATAATCGGCTTTGTTACGATCTGCGAAAGAATTACTATTTTCATACGCAATGTCGTGGTCTCTACAAGCAGAATCCAGAAGGTTTATACCTTTGTCACCATGAGCTATCCGTTTTTTTAAATTTGTACCAGGACCACAATATTGATAACCTAAACAGAGAAATATTATTATTATTATTATTACTAATATACGCATATTATTATGATCTCACCAGGTACGTGAAGCTCGATTGGTAATTTGTTTATAAGCGTGTTGATAAGACCAGCGCCTTTATTGTTGTTCCTGCTTCGAGCGAGTGAATGAAGTGTTTTTAGTAAAAACATTAGTTTAAATAACGACGAACGTATCGAATCCGTGACGATATCGCCCATTGTCGCGTTCACTGTCTTTGTTTATGACGATAAACTCAAATCTCCCTTTACGCCAGCATGAAGTACAAAAATCTTTAAACTCTGGATATGACATATCACCAGAGCAATGTTCCATGTAAAAAAACAGGTCTACTGAAACTACTAGAAAAAAATGTTATCCCAAAATCGTATGCATTTTTTTATGAAAATGTGTAATTTTTTAAATATTACGACTTACAATAATTTTAATTTATGACGTTCCTAAATTATAGAACAAATACAAGGCTGTTATTTTCATGTTCTAATAACTTATTTAATTTTTATAATACTAACGAAGTTCCTAAGTACAGAACAAGGCTGATTCTACTGTTATTTTATTTTTATCAATAAAGTGTTCAATTTTTTTTTATTATTTTATTTCTATTAAGGTTTATAAATATTTTAAATCTTTAATATAAAATAAAGGGTTGTTTATGTCTTAATTTATATTATATTTGTTGTTTTTATTGTATTTATTAATGGCATTGTTATTAATATTTATATTATTATGATAAAATATCACGAAGTGGTGATATAATGTTTTCAGGAAAAACGTCATAACTCACAAGAGGGATGAAAATAGAACAATTTAGAAGTTTATTCTTTATTTTATCAAAATAAACTTGTTATTGTTAGGATGAAAGGTAAATAGTTTTATTGATACCAAAAAAAAATTTTTAAATTTTAACGATCCTACACCGTGATGAGCTATACAAGAAACGGGGAATCTTTAAACCGCTGTACTGGAAAATCTACTTTTTTGAGTTATGTCACTATTCTTGTGCACCGACGATTTGTAGACGATGGTTTAATCGCTGCAGACAATGCAGAAATAATAGATAAACTTTTAACAAACTTGGAGAAAGAATTTGAGGTTAAAAAAGGAAACTTAGATTATTTCCTAGGTATGCAGGTAAATATAATGAAAAATGGTTCATTATTTGTGCATCAGACAAATTATGCATGTAGCATAATTAATAAATTTAATATGCTGGACGCCAATGAACTTTCAATACCAATAGACAAATCACATACACTTGAACAAAAGGAAGATACGGAAATATTGAATGAAGATATTCCTTATAGGTAGGCAGTAGGTAGCTTACTGTTCTTATCACAGGTAACAAGACCAGATATAGCATATGCAGTAAACTTTGCTAGTCGTTACTTAGCAAAACCAACTAAAGCTCATTGGAACTTGGTAAAACGGATTATACGATATATCAAGCGAACATTCAATTATGGCTTGTACTTTAATAACAAAACAAAATTGTCATTAGAAATATTTAGCGATGCAGATTACGCAGGTGACATTCAGACACGACGTTCAACGTCAGGATTTCTATTCAGGTACGGGTCAAGCATAATTTCATGGACATCGCAGAGACAACATTGTGTGTCGTTATCATCGACAGAGGCTGAATATATTTCGGCCAGTGAAGCTGTCAAAGGGATCTTGTGGATTACACGGTTGATAACAAGCTTATCGAAAACAGGTGACAAACAACCAGTTTTATTTATAGATAATCAGAGTGCTATTCGTTTAGTTAAAAATCCAGAGTTTCATAAGCGGACAAAACATATAGACGTACGGTACCACTTCATACGGGAGAAATACG